GAGGCCGATATATCGGCTCTTGCTGCACTGGCGAGAAGTGCCGGAGCCGATATATCGGCCCGCGTCTTATAGCGCTTTATAATAACAAAATTTTACACATTTACAATATATAAATATAAATATTTATGTTATTATAATGAAGTATTATGCAAAATTATATCACAAATATATTTATGACAACATAATTTTGTTTCAGCAATGTTATATTACCTATAACAATTACATATTTCGGAAGAGATAATCCGTCCGGCGCTTACCATGTACCTTCGAGTTATTTTTTGTTTGTTATATAGTATTATTTATCTTGTTACAAAATATATCAGAAATGCAAAGTATATACTTTGTAATAAATGATCTATATAAAATTATGATGAAAAGATGACTTTTTGTATGTGCAAATACGTTTTGTAAGAGAGAACTGGACTTTTACTTTCTTTATGGTCTTTTATACCTTTGTTATTTATATAATTTTCAATGAATATAGAAAATCTAGTGTCACTATTTTGTTCTCTATTTCGTCCTTAATTTACTGTTTTTTGAATCATGTAAATATTGTTTCTTGTTTGGTTTTTATGAGCATTTTCCCAAACCCTAGTAAAACAGTGAAATTCGGCCGGTTATTCTTGCATAGGCGCCTCTTTTTCGCATGGCACTAAAAGGGTTAAAGTGAAAACGAATTTGATCAGTAAAAAAGATAGTATCCCTAAAGCTTCATAATTTTCCGGATCTCTTTCCTTGAACTTCAGTAATGAATACAGAAAAATTCAATAATATAAAGCTTGGGAAAATAGGAGGTGCAAAAGGTGTCCCGATCGATAGAGATGATTGCTCGATAACTTATCAAATGTATCGGCTTATCCAATAAAGGAACATTGTTGAGTTTCGTATAGCTCCAGAGATTTGATTAATACATATGTTTTTATTTCATTCGAGATACTCATGTCAAATACTATTCATTTACACATTTCACTGGAAAATTGAAATGAACATAGATATCTAATAATTTTTTAGTACAATTTGATATCTCTGTAATAAATTGATGCATACTATCACTCGTAAGTTTGCGGCCGTTTACGTTACAAACTTATGGTAAAGTCGAAACTCTATCATGAAAATATTATGTATGTCATCGAAGTTGAATATCGCTCTGTACCTGTTATTCTTTATTACATTATTTAGTCGATTAAATCGGTCGGCAACCTACGAGTGGTATTAAGCGAGTAAATATTTTCTTGTACATATACAATGGTATGAAATAGTTTAAAATGTATAAAATATAGAAATATTGAGTTGGTGGGAAAATAATGTCGATTTCCGACCATGCAAGATAAATGGTGTCAAATAGCTTATACGTCGCTATTTACAATCAATTTATTTCGTCATGATAGCGCTCTACGTTTACAAAACACTGGACCCTCGTCTGAACTTAGAAGTTAGTATAAATTAAGCAGCGTAAGTTGATATAAATTTAAAAAACGTGTACATGCAGCTGCTTGGGCAAAAATCTATCTGTTCAACCATCTCTCTTGGCAATTACATAACGGTATGTAAATCTTTTTAAAATTATAGGTATTCCATAATTGATTAAATAAGACAGATAACATAATTATATGTCGATGTACCTGTGAATTTACGAAACCAAGATTATTGTCCCACTGACACAACATAATATAAATAGTAGAGTTTTATGTTTTACGTGTAAATTTATCAGAAAATAATATAATACTTCGTGTTGCTATCCTTTTAGCAAGAATATAGAAACCTGGAATAGAAGATTTTTTGGAAAGAAGTACGTCCGTGTTCATTATTATCAAAACTAGACGCGTCCGTAGGCAATTTTTACAATGCACAGCTCAAAATTATGAATGCGTTGCAGTATAAATTCTCGTAATGCTACCGATAAACATTGTTTCAAATTATATCAGGAGAATAACTATGATGCATCTGCAACAAATTCCGATCGAAACGAATGTTAATTCAAAAAATGTTAGAGATGCCCATTTGTATAATACATTTCAGTAAGTAACACTAACAGACATTATCTTCTGAATTCAAATTGCACATATGCTACTTTCAAAACTGGTATGAGAATTCCTTTCCCATAGATAAACTGTTTATCACAGATGGAATCAAAATTATCGTTAAAATCGCAATAAAATTTTAATAAGACAAAATCTTATAAATATATCCACGTGATAAGTACAGTTCAAGTATAATATCCTTTCCCATTTTAAAGAAGTAGAAGATTTTTACGCGTTGAGCGTAAATTATAATCTTTATTGCGACTTTATACCTATTTTAATAAAGGATATAAATTATTAGCAAGTAACGTCTAACCAATTCAAATCAATTATTCGATAAACTTATTATATAAGTATAAATTATATTACTTAATTTGTGTGATGTTTTTCCCGTAATAATTACATAATTAAGTACTGTAATCCTGCTATCTCATCATTTGTCTAAATCTATCCAACTCGTAAATACTTTCCGATAGTCTGTGGAAGAAAAACATTATTAGTTCAACGAACGTGAGCAATCAGATTAAATGTGCAAATGTTTCCCAATACCGTACTTACCTTCCCAAACCATTTATAAGAGCAACGATCTCGCTTCTTTCCAAATAAAATTGTGTTCTGTTAAAGGTATACAATGTTGGTTCCCATCTATCAAATTTACCCGAGAATAAAATCTTCAATGCTGTACCCAACCCTTGTATTTGAAGTTTGCCCCAAAGTTTACACTTGTCACATCCCACGCAGTCCATAATGCGGGAGATATTACGGAAATGTTGCCTAAATTGTTCTTTCAACAACTGAGCCTCTGCTCCACCGGCAAACATAACGCTTTCGTTGAAGTGTTCTGGAAACGATCTGAACCATACACTCACAATTAGAAAAATGTGTAGAATTCTCCATTTGAATACTATAATTTATGAAATGGGACATACTTGACGACGCTTAAAATATCATTTATTGCCAAACGTGTATCTTTATCTTGTGCTTTGTTGCCAGTATAGTATTCTTCCCGTTCTAAGTATGGTGCAGCTTTAGCCAGAGCTCTTAACTCCAATAGGTAAATGAAATATAAATTTCTTAACCAATTTGGGCCTTCGCCTCCAGTCGTCTCTGGTGAAAATCTTCTTTGAAATTCTTCTAAATTGTGTCCCCACTGACCACTGGGCACTATCACTAGAGTATCTTTCGACGAGAGTAAATATTTTGCAGATAAATGTATATTGATACTAGCATGAAGACCTGATATAACGCGATAAAATACTCTTTTCTCCAAGCACATTCCTAAAACAATAAATACGCATACATGTATTAGATGAAACTTATCTTTCTGTTTAGTATATGCAAATATCAAGTAAACTTGCCATTTATTTTCGAGGATTGAACATAAAAATGAGGTGAATTTTCTGGTCTGAAATTAAGTGTATAATAAATTATTCCATTGTTTTGTTGTAAAATACGATACGATCATACCTAAAGCAATTTTCCATATAAATACTACGCCAAATTCTATGTGCACTAGGTCCTTTATAGCCTGTATATCTTTCAGGATTAAGCAAAAGATTCACATATTCGCCAGGACTAGATTCTTTTACACAAAAATTATCTTGGGCATCGTCGTACTGCTTCCACAACTCAAAATCTTTGTAATTTTCCGAACTGGAGAAATATTATTGTTTTATAATACAAACATAGTGTCTACCTAAAATTCATAGAAACTTGTTTACCTAATGGTTGTATTTAAATAACCTAGTTCTTTATTATGATCTTTAGCACTGCGCAAGCAATCGTCAAATTGAGCATTGGATTTATATTTATCTACAGGACTTTCATTGAAGTGTGCATGTTTTAGCATGTCTCCTTTTAGTCCATCTGGAATGTCTTCCTGTAAACAAAGCAATATTTACAATTGTGTTTATCATGTTTATAATTTTCCTTTGTTATTACAATAGTATTGTAGTCGCTATAGATATTAAAAAGTTATTGAATAAAAATGTTAACGATAACAATGATTAAAAATTGTATACTAATGTAAATTTGAATAACTAAAATAAAAGTTACTTTTGGTTGAACCCTATATACATTAATTAACATGATTCCTAAATCACTCACATCTTGACAGGGTTGTACATGACAATATCGCATAACACATTTGCTATCATCTGCCCAAAAGGGACACTCCTGTTTCAGATTTACTTTATAAAAACGAAAATAATCTCTGACTAGAAGACTCTGAAGTCTAGGATAGATCTTCAGATTATTAAAATAATCCACAGTATTCACAGAGCAGCTGCAGTCATCTATGGAACCTTTCAACTAAAAAGTGATGATGCATATTATTAGTTAAGCGGATATTTACATAGGTTTTTCTTATATTTAATTGAATCATTTAACTTGAAAGCCTTAAAACTAAATATCTATGTGGAAAACCCTTCTGTACACAGCCATCTGTTACAGATGTCCCCACAGGTTATGTTCATTTCTTTCACAATAGAAAACTTGAACAACGGAAAAACAAGAAAAATAATAATACCTTGCAGAAACACTGGTCGTTTTTATCACTGTTCGATTCAAAATAATTGGCATGTAGAACAGAAGGTAAGAACACGGTGCAGAGGATTAAAACGATGAACATGTTTCCACTGGGACTGCTTGTCATAATTATGTGTTCACTGGTATGTCTTTTGGTCACGTTTGAAGTGGATAAATTAAGTTATTATCGCTGGTTACCGCGACCGCGGCTATCTAACACACTTCCCACCTTTTATGACAATGACCAGGCTACGTGCCATCGGAAACGTATAGCATCCTACCTCCTACCGAAAGTAAACTTCGTTGACATTTTTCTCATCCTTGATATATGTATCGTTAATCGATTAACATTGATTTGTTAACATTACAATGATATGTTCTAACCGAACATATAATTCGTCAATCTAATTATTTGATTTCACAAAATGTATACAAAACGAATGCACACAATTTATACGTGTACAAAACAAAAGTAAAATGCCTGTATAACGGTAGTGTAGACTTGAGTTAGAGTTGAGAGTTACTACGTAACTCGTGAAAAATAATCTGTAATTACGATCTTACTAAACGATGTGACCAATATGACATCGCTCTAACGTTAACACTACATGTGTAATATCTATGTATGGACATGAAAATCTAACATAAAAATGAAAAACGTTGGCGTATTTAAAAAATATTCTATAAATTATATAAATTGCTTTAAATCTACTTGATTTTAATTTAATAATTATGTGTATAGTTCACGTTGCATATAACGCTTTGTTAACTCACTTTGAGGTCCAAGAAGAAGTACTAAAATAATTTCTGTTCCACGTAATGTACATATAAAATCTAACTCCTCCCTTTTATCCTCCACCCGTTTTATTTAAATTTGGTACCACCGTGGTACTACCACGTGTACTTATAGTATGTACATATACTTGTTGCTAAATACACGTCATTAATGTCTAAATATGAACTCATTAAAGTCTATTCATTTATTAATTAAATGAATAGCTATAAAACCGCATACATGTGAATATGCCAGATGCAACGATGCGATAAATATAATATTCCAATATTTTGGTATAGACAATGATATTGACAATTATTACATAGCTAATTACAGGATAATCGAAATTAATCGAAAAATTATATGTAGATGTGCCCTGAATTGTGCATGATGTAAGCGATTGTGATGTCTCTTACGGAGGAAAAGTAAAGCTTTTCAGGATCTGTACAGCGCCAATTTGAATAGTGGCAAAACGCTCAAACTATTGGCCAAATTCGACTGTCGGTAATTCAGCCCATAGTTTAATCCTTTCGCCACTACTCAAATTAGCACTGTATGGAGCTCCAAGATTTCGCTACAAGAGGCGCTACTATCATGAAAACAGTAATTGATTCTTGCCGGAATCTGCATAGTATCTTATGGTAAAAATGGGAAGAATCAGTCATGCTCGAATGAAAAGTAATATTTAATGGTTCTCCGTCGAGACTTGTTTTATTTTAAAGCATTTAAATTAAAGCTGAAGAAATGCACTTTATAATCGCTGCATTGGGATTTGAAACTATAATGTCATAGTCATTATGATAGTGGAAATAAAAATTCACCTACTTATGAACGCATGCGCAATGAAAATTAGTTACCGAAAATCACCAGAGTTTCGCCTGATTCTACTACATACATACATATATAATACGAATACACATACAGTAATACCTCAGGTTTTGCACGATTTTTCTACCTCCCTTAGCTTTTGCAAACATCCCCACCATATTACTGGGTATCCAATCCGTAGCGAATCCTGTCTTAGCGTTGAATCGTCAGCCAATCAGAGCAAAGCAATTTCTACCCTATTCCCGCTAACGGAGCGTGCTGCAACCGAAGAGTCTTTCAAAATTTGAGATATTACTGTATGTACAATATACATATGTACTCTGGCGTAGTCGCATTGTGGTATAGGACATGTCAAAAATTTGTGATGGCGACGATGTTGAAGGTTAGTTGTCATTAAACAACGAAATTTATAATTAAAGTCGGTTTATGTAAACCAACACTTGTCAATCTAATGTATATAATTTTTTAAGTTTTTTTGCATAGTCTTATTCTTAACGATAGTATGCAAATGTTGATAACCTATGCAATGTTTAGATTGTCAAACAACGATTTGAATTTTCCTACTAAACAACACGTATAGCATTTTATTTTATTTAGAAACGTTTGTATAATTTTATCGTTACAATAACTTCTCAGTAATTAGTACAAACGATTATTATTAGTTATAGTAATTTTAAGACAAGTTCTTTTTCAATACCAAGATTTTTGTATGAATTTAAATCACGAATAGCAAGTTAAAATCAACAAATGTAATTTCTTCTAAATCGTCTATCTGTATTTGCCTTTATATCTTAATACTGTAAGATACATATCACTTTCAATATTTTTATATATTTCTTTCATATTACTTTGTAATACACATGTGTACTGTAATGAATATTAAAATATAACAGATTTAATATCTATATTCTCTTACTATATTTAACAATATGTGCACAATTAGGACAAAAGTCGGCCCATGTTTGAAGATAAATGGCCATGTATGCGTCCAATTATTTTGAAACTATTGGTACAAGAACCCGTGACACAAGCAGAATGGCAAGATCTATTTTACTCTGTTCATTTGATATGTGTGTGGGATGAAAAAGGTGCTCCAAAGCTAAGGGACGCGCTTAAAGAAGATATAATGGATTTTATAAAACAAGCTCAACAGGTATATATTATTGTAATTATAGTATAGTTTATAATCTTCTTCCTGAAACTAAATTAACAGTACCAATGTTTTAATTATTTATAGAGAGTTTTAGCACACCAAGAAGAACAAGCACTGTTAAAAGCATATATAGTTGAATGGAGGAAGTTTTTTATTCAGTGTATCTATCTTCCAACACCTTTCAGGCAATTAGAAACAAGTCTAGCTGGCAAAACAGGTTCCACCGTTCAGAAAAGAAATCAACCAGATGATACTGTTAGAAAGGTACTAATAAATTGTAGTTTTTAATATTTTATATTTTACAATCTCATGATTCTTCATGTGTATGTTACAGTTAATGTTGGATAGTTGGAATCAAAGTATATTTGGAGAAATAAAACATAAACTCCAGGATTCTGCTATGCGACTAATAAGGGCTGAAAGAAACGGAGAAGCATTTGATTCACAACTTGTTATTGGCGTTAGGGAATCTTATGGTAATAGATTGGTAGATTGGAAATGATCTGGTGGCTGGTAATAATCGAAAATTTTTCCATAAATTCTAGTAAATTTGTGCTCCAATACAACGGATCAACTTCAAATATATAGGGAGAATTTTGAAGCAGCATATATAGAGGCAACGGAAGCATTTTATTGGGTTAAAGCACCAGAACAATTATCGTTACATGGTGTAGAGAATTACATGCGTTACGCGGAGGCAAAGTTAAGGGAAGAAGAACTCAGAGCACAAAAGTATTTAGAACCGAATAGTGCGAGTGTACAACTTTTAACTGAGTGTTGTGTACGTATATTAGTAGCAACTTTTAAGCCGGCTATATTAGCGGAATGTCCAAGAATGATTCAACATCATCAAACAGATCGTAAGTGTATTCTAATTTCTATTTAAAAATATTTGGGTATATAGCGTTATACCCATACTAATGGCATTGGTCGGATAAATTACAGAACTTAGATTGATGCTAAAGTTAATGGATAGAGTGCCTGAAGGTGTTGGGCCAATGTTAAGAAATTTAGAAGAACACATTGCAAGTGCGGGTCTAGCCGATATGATGGCAGCGGTAGACGTTATTACTCACGATTCTGAAAAATATGTTGAGAGACTATTAGATCTTTTCCGACGATTTTCAACTCTCGTTAAAGAAGCGTTCGACGATGATCCCAGATTCTTAACAGCGAGAGATAAAGCTTACAAACTTGTCGTAAACGACGCAACAGTATTCAAATTAGAATTACCGGCACGCCAAAGTTCTGGCATCGGTACAACAATTTTAAATAATAAACCCAACAACAACAACAACAAACAACCGGAATCGAAGTGTCCAGAGCTTCTTGCTAATTACTGTGATATGCTACTTAGAAAGACACCTCTCAGTAAAAAACTGACTTCTGACGAAATCGAAAGTAAGCTAAGAGACGTAGTAAGTATTTATTTTCTCCGAATGTACATATATTCCTCGATATGTAATATCAAACGCCACTTCGTATCCATCTTTTGATTAATTTCGTTTTAGTTGTTAGTGTTAAAGTATGTTCAAAATAAGGATGTATTTATGCGCTATCATAAGGCTCATTTAACACGCCGCTTAATACTAGACACATCTGCGGATTCTGAAAAAGAAGAAAATATGGTAGAATGGCTTCGCGAAGTCGGAATGCCTGCTGATTATGTTAATAAATTAGCTCGAATGTTCCAAGACATTAAAGTGTCGCAGGACCTCAATCAACAGTTTAAAGAACAGTGTAGAGCTGCTATTGCAGATAGTATAAACATTAAGGTACTGACCGAAATGTGTAAAACATTCAATCTATTAATCACAGAGTACTAATTGAAGGCAACTGTTTCTAGATTTTAAATGCAGGTGCATGGGCTAGAGGCAGTGAACGCGTCACTGTAAGTTTACCATTACAATTAGAAGATTATATTCCTGAGGTAGAGGAATTTTATAAGAAAAAGCATAGTGGAAGAAAATTACAATGGTATCATCATATGTCAAATGGCACGGTAAGAAATGAAATGTCTTGTCAGAGAATATTGGGAACAGATGTCTTTATGTTTACAAAGAATTTTTACGGATTAAGCGGGGTCTTTAAAGATATCGATGTAACGTTAATGAAATATTTCAATTATTTGTTGTAACAGAACAAGATAAAGTTTTCTGATGCAGTAAACAAGGGTATAGAATAGAACTTTACAAAACTTTCAGTATCACGGTTCTAATTTTCAGCTTCACCTTGCAACCAATTTGGATGGTGTTCCAGATAACGTTTTCCAACCAAGTGGGACGCTTCGACGTGGATGTAACAACTTTTCAAATGGCAGTTCTGTTCGCTTGGAATCAGCGACCGTTTGAAAAAATCACTTATGAAAATTTACGATTGGCTACGGAACTTCCTGACCCCGAGCTTAGGCGAACGTTATGGTCTCTGTGTGTTTTTCCGAAACTCAAACGTCAGCTCCTGTTGGTGGAGCCGCACGCACATAGTCCTAAAGATTTCGCAAACGACACAAGGTTTTGGGTGAACCAGGAATTTGCTATTGTGTTAGTAATATTTTTGAAAATGACTATGTAAAAAAAGATGATTATATGAAATCTTTCTTTCACTTTTAATTGAAATTTTTAGCAAAAACGGAAAATTACAAAAGCGGGGGAAAATTAATTTAATAGGGAGGCTTCAATTATCAACTGAACGAAGTAAAGAGGAGGACAACCAATCTATTGTACAACTTAGAATATTAAGGGTTCAGGTATATTTTATCTCTAATCAATCTTTATTTATCAATATGCAAGCAACGTTGTAATTGAAATGTTCTTTATAGGAGGCAATTATCAAGATTTTAAAAATGCGGAAAAAAATTAGTAATGCTCAGTTACAAACCGAATTAGTTGATATACTGAAGAACATGTTTTTGCCAAGTAAAAAGATGATAAAAGAACAAATCGAATGGCTCATTGAACATAAATATATTCGCAGACACGATGATGATATTAATACTTTTGTGTATGTGGCATAAACTGGGATTATACATGCATACATATAAGAGTGTACAAACTCTTATGATTAATATTATATTTTTATAAGAATTCAGTTTTTGTGTATGAAAGCGTATGCTCAAAGAATCATAATGTAATTGAGAGATATTTAATGTTTTTGTAACACATTCACAAAGAAGAAAGACACATCTCCTTAACATGAATAATTAGTGTTTGGGCACAAAATCATATCGTTCCAAGAATCATGATTAAGTAAGATACTGCCGTTAATAACAATTGTATGCACAGTTAACAATGAAATTATTATAATGTTTCAAAATTCTAATCTCCGAGATAAAATATAAATTTTATCAATCGTTTTATTAACTTCGAAAACAGTCGCAAACACTTTTTATTTGTTGTGTTTAATGTCACACAGGAAGATCGAACCACGAATGGTGTAGACGCGTGAATATGTTTATTTACTATATGTGTACATATTTTCAAGAGCAATTGATTTCTGTGAATTAATCTCAATTGTAAAAAGTACACTAATTACGAAACTTTCTTTATATGACACTTTTCAGGCTGTTTTGTATTAATTGTGTCGTAAATTGTGAACGAATAAATGTGCATTTTCGACTGGAAAAATTTGATTGAACTAAAATTCATGCGAAGCAAAAATACAATAAATGGCCTATACCAATACGTGTAAATGTCATATTAAAAGAATTTAAATTCATTTTAGTAGACTAGTAATGCAATGTATAATCCTTATGCTAAATTTTGCACAATCGCATCATGAATCATTACATGTTGACTTACCACTACTAATAACATCTATGTGTATAAAGCTTTTATATTATTAAATAAGCTAATGACAATGTAACAGTGAACAATTTCTGAATTAAAGAAACAGAATTTTTTATACTTTTCAAGCTATTTTATTACTAAATAATTTCTTCCCGAGAAATTATAGTCATTTTCTCTTTTAATAATTCAACAACTTTTCATTTCATACATTTATACAAGAACACACAAATAAGAATTTTTTGGTAACGTATTTATTCACAGAAAAGTAATTTGCTATAACATATTTATAAATTTTCAACAGCTTTATGTTAATTTAAACTTTACACGAACATGAAATATATTTCATTCGAGTGGGAACATTATATACATTTACATATACGTATACATACGTACACATC